GGGGATCTGAATGAAGAAGCAGGAATAAAACACCAGCTGCCTTTGAATCCAGTCGGCATTTTTCCCCAAAACCACGTTTGGGAAGCCAAAAGAATAACAGAGTGAAAGCAGGGCTTATGGAGGACCAACATAAACGTGGCTGGTGTTGTTTTTTCTATCACCATTACTCCACGCAATAAGTTTTTAATATCATAATAACAGCTCTGAGCGAGAGCCTTCTCTGTTTCACTCTGATTCTTGTATTGACTGTCAATCTGGCCCAGTAGACATGGGCATGAATCAGACAGGCCAGGTTGGTGGTGGTGATGATGATGATGATGATGATGATGACGATGAACTTTATTTATTCAGCCAGTGCTGGCTTATATGCCAGCATAAACTCAACATTTCACTTTGCTTATGTCTGGGACGGAGGTTCTGGTCCTGCTCGGGTTTGACTTTTCTTGATTATCCTGCCACAGCTGTAACCAACGTCTGATGGAGGAGGCAGCACGTAGGAAGGACGCATTCTGTTCATGCAGTGCGTAGTGGTTGGGCTGGAACTGGGCCACATCTTTATGGGGCGTTGCTTCTAGGTTTTGTATGTATGTTTTGTATTGTATGCAGACCAAAAATCACAGTTTGCGAGACTGCGGTGCATTTTTGTATCCATCCCTGGGATCTTGAAAACATTAGCGCTGAATCCTTGTAGCGGCTCCTCCGTTTGATCCGTTCTGGCTCTGATATCAGTCGGCTTGATTTGGATCAGGATTCGTTGAAGTCAACCTGTGAACTTGAACTGAATACACTGATGCTGTTATTATAGGTGCAGCAGTATAGGCCTAAAGAGACATCACTGGACTGTGCTGTGGCCCACAGTCTAGCTGTTTTTGAGCAGGTTTTTATTTCAAACTAACTGGGCCACAACTGGACTTTGGCATGGGATGTTTTTTTTTAGTGGAGTGAAGGTTGGAATTCCAGAGGAGTTAATAGAAATGTTTCTTGGATTGGAGGAAAAACTGTTTTGTTACCTCATTTCTCATTTATATATACAGTATATATATCATGTTTTATTCACCATAAAATACATATAGATACAATTTAACAAAAACAATTGAACAAAAACAAAATAAAAAATCAGAAATCAGCTCAACACTATAAAAAAGATAAATATATGTACAATGCAATTAATCACATCAAAAGTTTGAAAGATTTTTGGGTTTGTTTTATGTTATTAACTGTTGTTGTTGTGTGTATCAACAGTCTTTTTATACTGCACAGAAAATAAGCAGTGTTACAGTTTCTCTTCTGTGTTAATCTGACACAGAATCTGTACTGGTGCTTTTTCTTTCCCATTATTTGCACAAATTGTTTCTTTGAGAAGATGATGTCGAGACTGAACAAGGTTAATGCACATATATTTTGGTGTAATGAGGTAAAAATTGACAGTCGTCTGAAAATAGGATGAGAAAGCCCACTCGTGAAAATAACATATTTAAGTCAATCCAAAGGCTTCATCCTTGATTGTGTCTCCCAGTAGAAAAATGAATGCTGATAAATTACAGATGTGTCTTTTGTCAGCCTTCATTTATTCAGTTTAAAGACCCTCCAGGTCAGCGTCGGTCACACATGACTTTTCCCCACAGCATGGGCTCAAACCAGCAACTCTCTAGGCTTGGTTTTTGAGCATTTTTGTGATCAAGTTGAAAGTCTTTGTTCTCGGCAGGATGCTGGTCCACAGGCCCGATGGTTGGATCCCTCAGCCAAGAGTTTAAGCCACTGTGACAGTTGCTGGCAGCAGAGAGCAGCAGCTCTGCCTGAGTTAGAAGAGATTACTACATGTGGGTTCCCACAGAGTATGAGTCGGCCTCCTACTGCCTCCTGTTGGGGGTTTGATCACAATTTATTGTTGGGTGCTTCAGTCTTGCCCTTTGACACCAGGAGCTAAAAATGAAGGCGTGATAGTGGGAGTGTCATCTTCTTCAAACTTCTCCTCAAAAATCATAAACATTTGACTTAAGTTCAGTTCAACAGGATGTACAAGACTTCATTTGAACACCATGAAGCATATATATATATATATATATATATATGTATTGAGGTGATAGTTGTTATATGATGTTTTTATTTGGCCCATATATGGTGTGAAATGATAATCTGTCAAATCTTTTTGGGTCAGGTCAAGATCAGAAAATGCCAAAAGAATTGTGTTGAAGTCTGGAGTTTTACACCAGATGTCCTTCTTGACACAACCCAACTGGTATTGGGGACTATGTCCAGTTGGACCAAGAACTTTCTACATGAAAGGTTCTGACAAATGCAGTGTATTTTTACCACAGTAGCTCTTTCTTTTCCACTATATTTGGATCACATTTATCACTTGGGTTACATTAGTCTTATGTCCATTATTACTGGGCCAAACAGAGGCCCAAAACGTGCTACTGTTTGGGCCTCTTGCAATGGCTTTCAACCCACGAGTGGAACATTTTTCGCAACTACGTTAATGTATTCTTTTTTCCATTTAAATAACACTACAATTGATTCTCTCATTTTTGGTGTCGTTGTCTCCTGATGAGTTACGATCCCAGTTTACAAGCACGTACAGAGGTGATGTACAATGTTCTTGTCCGTCAGACACTGGATCTCCAGATGTTGAAGCAGTTAACAGGCGGGAGAGAAGCTGAGCGGCAAGAGTAGCTGTGATGAGTCAACGGCATGTAGGAAACCTGATACGGACTCTGTCTGCTGGAGAAGGGCAGTTTAGTGAAAACAGCGTCATTACAACAACCTGAGGCCTCTCAGGCCAGCCACCTCAGACATTGAAGTGCATGCCAGAGAGGAGGGAGAGCTAGTGCGTCAGTTCAACACTGCACAATCAGAGATGGAAGGAGTCCAGTTTGAGACGGTGAAAGCAGGGAGGAGAAGAAGGAAACAGGGCAAAAAAATCGTTATTTTATCTAGAGCGTTTACGATCTTTGCATCATAGCGTAATGACAGAACCTGATTATTTAAGAGGAAAATGAAGGAATGAAGTTAAGGCTGCCAGACCTGTTTGCAGTGAGAGTGTAGACAAAGGTGGTGTTAGGACAACAGACATATGCTTCACATCACCTTTATTTGTTTCTGCAAGCTTATATTCCTATTATTCCTAGTTTCATTAAGCCAAAAAAAAAAATTGCAAATACATGAAAGAGGAACAAATGACAAAAAAATACAAAAATGTTAAAAATGAAAGCAAATAGTTAGAAAAAACAAGTGGGTCTCTAATAATTACACACATTGTGTTTTGGTAATAAATACCACTTTATAATCAGTAAGGAAAATCTCAGACACAAGCGTTTAAGGCTTCACTGGTTCGGACTAGGAGTGGAGAGTCTCTTTTTGGAGGAACCCATTGCTATCATGTGTTCTGTGGCAGTGTGTCCACATACTGTATGCTGCATGTGCTCCACTGCCAAGGGCTTTCCTGCCCCACACTTGGCTCTGGAGACACGAGGTACGAATGCAGGAAAAAAAGATGGAAAAACAGTAAAAGGAAACATTAGTGGACAAATGTGAGGAACTAGAACCGGTGACTTTATGAAGTCTGTGGTGCATGGTTACATGAGGACACAATGGTGCCTTTAAATGGTGGTAACTGGTAAATGGTGCGTGCTTGATTTTCTAGTCCATTTGTTCACTTAATGTCACATTTATGACCTCATAAAAGGTCATTCTAGTAAAATGGCAGCACCAATTACAGTTCATTTTTCAGCTGCTTGTTAATTCAATACAATTTTCTTTTTAATGGCTAATCAGGGGTGTGTTCCAACATGAAGGTTGAGGGTTAGAGTCCACCTGTGTGACGATGTGTAAAACAAAAAACCTTTAGTTTACTTTTTGAAGAGAAAGCCTTCAAGACATGAAGGAGGAAATATCGTTTTTGTGATATTCACTCTGTGAACCTGCTGCGTCAGCATTTCTTTTGGGTATCAATACTAAACTGAACGACTGCTGTCTCAGAGCCAGTGCATACACTGAGTCCAGACGTAAAGACGTTTAACTCATTCTGCAAACCAGAAGTGAAAAAGGCTTAACTTCTAAAAAAATGACTCCTTTCCTGCAAAACATCCAGCGTAGCAGATTTCTCTGCTGTTTCTCTGTATTTATATATATAAAAAAGCAAAGTGTGCACTTAATTTTTCTGTTTTGATTCAATTTTCTTTTTTCTGCTTAGCTTACGTTATTTTACCTCCCTCTTGTTTTCCTTGCCCTCTCCCCCTCTCTCCCAACCCTCATCACTTCCCATCTTTTTCGGCTGCACCACAGCCTGCCACTTGTTTGGCTAATAGTGGTTGGATTAGACACATCGTGATTTACATGTGCAGGAAAGATAAGGGGACGTTTTTATGGCTGCACCAGGATTTCAGAGGTGTGCACCAGAGTCTGAGAAACATTTTCAGACTGCAGACACGGCTGGAAAATCACTGTAAGCTCCTACAAAAAAACTGGGCTGTAACATTTTAAGGCCTGGTGGCTTCTCGTGAAAACCTCTCCCGTTGGACAGAAAATATAGCATATTAATCATGTAGCTATTAGCATGATTGTCTGTACCTGGACACGGTGGGAGGATATTAAATATAATACCCCAGAATTTCTTGACCTGAAAGTATTAATGTAGAAATCAGACAATAAAACATTCTGTGTTTCTGGAAAATATTACACATTGCTGTAGTTCTAAAAAAACCAACCTATATCAATGGCAGGGAGTGGTTCATTTGTATATGTTTAATTTCAGGAGCGTTTTTACATCCAGACAACGTCAGGGTTGTGCTCAGACCTGGAAGATGTCGAGTCCACCCCCAGTCTGACCTGTGGTCACCGAGCTGCTGCACTGCAAGGAAAAAGGTAAGTTCTGGTCTTTCAATCTCGCTTCCAATACAGTCCTGTGAGGTACTGTTATTGGTACTTTAGCATAACAGCTCTCAGCAGCAGATTTTACACACACGATGAAGATAGGTCTGTCCTTTAAAGACTCATTGTTTCAACACACTTTTAACAAAGTTTATTAATATTCATAAATACAACTAAAATGGAAGACACAGTTATAAACAAATACTTTAAAGTACTCTTGTTGTCCTGATGAACACTCTAAGTCCAGCATCATCACTGGAACTTGACCTATGTTACTGTATGCCGGCCTATAAACTTGACTCCCAGTGGTTGAGCTGGATGCATAGACAGCTCTGGTCTGTCATCGTCAGCTTCCTGTACCCTTAAATAATAACAGTATGTCCTACGTACCACACAGCTGGTCATCAAGACCAGATGGACTCCAAATATAACTCTAACCTCCCACACTTCCATTCTTCTGGACTCCCAGTCTGTCCGTTGGCATCAGTCACAGTCAGGACTTCCCCAGTGGTTCCCTGTGCGTGTGGGTGACCCGCTGCCCCGTATGGTAATGGTGTCAGTGGGACACAGGCACCTCTGTGCAGACGCAGCAGCAGCAGACGCAGCAGCACACTGGCCTGTTGTGAGTGTAGCAGGGTAACACAGAAGCCCTGTTTGCCCCGTCCATGAGTCGCACGTGTGTCCTCCCAATCTCTGTGCTGCTAAATATAGAAACAACAACAACAATGGCACCAGGAAAAGCCTGGCTAGAGAAAAAAACTGACCTCAGATGATATCAGTTTACAGCCAATGAATAAAGCTCAGAGATATTTAATTTTCCAGTGATGGCAGAAAGGTGGAGAACTAAGGACGGTTGTTTTCAGAAGCTCGGTCCACACGTGTGATTGGAGTTTAGACTCTGGGCAATTTAGGAAAGTCAGTGTTAATGTTGTGAGAAATGAGTATGGTCCGATAGAGACCGCATTGTTTTAGAGTTTGTAACTGGACTTTTTTATCCCTATGTTATTGTTGTCTTTTGGAGCCATGCAGTATTCTATGGCTAACCAATGGCTTTTAGCTACCTCCTTAAGTCTTTTTGAACTATAATTTGTTGATTTTCATTTTTTTTCCTCTGCATTTTTTTCCGTCTTGAATCTGACTGGACGTCTATTTCTTTCCAGTTACTACCACCGTCATTATTAACACTACTTTTGGCTAACAATTAGCAGCAAATATAGTAAGCAAATAATTTAACTGAAATTAACTAAAAATCTTCAATGACTTGACTTTGACACAGGTTTTCTTGTTTTTAAACATTTATTGTTACTATTTGATTTCTTTTGACTTATTTTTAGTTAAATCTTACATTTTTGTATTATTATTATTAATTATGGAAACAGGTTTCTCTCTCAGTCTTTTGTCTCCCAAGACAAAAACAATTCCTGAACTTCTTATCTTAAGAATTGTGAATTATATTTTCATAAATTCTCACCATGGGTCCACATCCCTCCTGTGGGTCTTGATATGATGGCAGACTCTGGTTCTGCCTGAGAGCGGCACGTTTCCCGATGAGAGGAACTGTCTGAGGCTGGAAATTTGTGAGGAACTGGAGGTCGTTAAACGGTGATATTGAATGATCTTTTTCTCTCCCGAGACCATGGCTCAGTCCCAGAGCTGTGAAATGATTTATTCAACTAAAAAATACTTATACATATTTGAATGTTTTCAAAGTTGCAGTGGTGTAGAACAGGCTGAAAGGGGCAAATAAATATTATCACATCACCTGAAGAGTGATTGATGCCTTAGGGGGGGCTTTACGGCTCCACTGTTCATGCGTTAAGTGGTGAATATTATATGTAGGATATTCTAGTAAAAGCTACTGCAGTGAACTGTTTCTCTTGTAACTGGATGTATCCGATTATGTAATAGTACTCTGTTTTCATAATGTGAAAGTTGATGAAAAATGACATTGATTGAAGGAGTTCTTGGCTACAGACATGGCACAGTGGTTAGTTCTGGTTCCTCATAGTAAAAAAAAAAGGTCAACATTTGGTGTCCAGGCTTACATTAGTACATTAGTTTTCTTTGAGTACTCTTGAGTACTCTTTCTTTGAGTATGCTGGTTTCAAATACATGCAGATTGGATATCAGGTTAATTGGAAACTATGAGTTTGAATCGACGTTCTGTGTCTATAAATGGGCCTGTGCAGGACCTCCACCCAGTGTCAGCAGGGCCTGACACTGGGTGAATGCCAAATCTCACCATGTACGCAAAACAAACAAACAAACAAAAAAAAACAGGTAAAACTTGATGATGACTTTGTTTTAGAACCATTTTTTACAAAGGCTACAGTAGATATTTTCTTCTTACCATAAAAATATATATTTTTATTCTATTGATATAGTCAGGAGTTATGACGAGAGCTTTGGAGTGAATTTCTTCCCATTAGTGAGGGAGCACACCAACCCTGCTGGGTATGGGCCATGGTTGTCCATCAAGTCTGACCCATACATAGAAGTGGTCACATCTGACAGCGACAAAGTCTTTAGATTTTCCACTCCATTTCAGATGAAGGGGCAGCATTAACACAACCTGGGAGCTAATGGTGGCAAAAGCCAGAGAGTTATCAGCACTGAAAGACTCATCCATCTTCCCAGTGCTCCAGTGACGAAAAGCAAACACACCCAAACAAGACGGCCATACAGCGTCCAGCGCTCACTCTCCTGCCCAAACACTCCCAACAGAGATAACAAGACGCTTAAGAGGCCTGAGGGTGGCTGGGAGTCAGACGCAGAGCTGAAGGTAAATAAATTCTTCTTATTGGGAATAAAAATAGGCAGAGCTTCGTTAGCTGTGACTGGTCCAAGAAGGATGGATTCTCTGTCCCAATAAAATGTTAACCTGGATTCAAACTAATAAAATGAGAGGAATTTATTTGTCCAGATTGACTTAAACTCTCATCTGTCTGAAAGACCCCAGCCTGAGCTGGAGATGAAGATGCAGAGATGTTTGATGGTAACAACCAGATTGGACAAGATATACGAGGGAAGAGAGGTGGAGATGATCTGGACTTTCCTGGAGGAGAAATGGAGCATAAAGGATAAAGGAAGCTACAGTCGTCGCCGATTTCTTTTCTGCAGCGCCACCTTTTGGAGATTGGACTATTATTGAGCCTACCTTGCCACTCAAGTTTATTCTAAAAAAGAAAAAAAAGTTCAAGGCACTTATTTTCTCCCAAGCGTCAAATTTGCAAAACATTGAAAGTCATTACCTGGATTTTGTAATTAAATGATGATAGTAGAAGAAGTAATGGAAATATTACTGACGTAAGATAAAAAGAAAAAAAATGATGGAGAAGGAGAACTAGAAAGAAAAGGAGAGAGAAAATAAAGAATAAGAGCCAAAACAGAAGACAATTAGAATAAAAAAGGAAAAAAAAATGAAGAAAAGGTCATGAAAGAAAAAAAAAGTTGTCATGGGAGATGGAAAACCCGGAATCATCAAAGAACAGTTAAGGAGGATCCTATGGGAAAAGATACATTTGAAGTACAAAAAAATTGGAAAATTAAAAATATAAATTTCAACTATTGTAATGATCAAGATAAAAGAGTTGAGACGAGCTCAGATCAGTAGACGGAGTGGACAAATCAGGACACAGTTCTCAGATCTATTAGGAGTCGTCTCCTGGAATCAGCAGGATTTCGACGAGGAGGGAAACGAAGTGAGAGTAAACACAGCCGCCTGCGTGTAAACTCATCAAGCCGCTGCAGCATCTTCCAAATAGATCCACCCTCATTTTTGGAGATGAGGTTGAGGAAAAGCCTGTGCAGTGGTGCGGAGAGGTTGTCGGGAGCCGCGTTACCGACTGTATACGTTTGCGTCACAGCTCCCGTCGACCGCGACGCTGCACGCGTCACGAAAGGGGAAGAGCTGGAATGTTTCCTTCCAGCAGTCATGGGAATCTTAATATCCTCTCTGATTGTGCCGTTCCTGCTAAGCTCTGTGCTCCACACAGCAGCCAAACATTAAAACAATTTATCCTCTTGATTAGAGTTCCAATTCTACATCTTCATTAAGGCAGGCCCCGAGAACAGCCAGAGGAAACACTGTCGCTGAGTCTGAGGCGAAATTAATTAGGCTGATTAATGTCAGCGAAAGGTAATGGCTTCACTTTATTGTACGCGTTTGTGTGTGTGTGTGTGTTTCTCATAAGTCATATGATGCCAAAACAAGACAAAACATCCACAAAATTAAGCCGACACCATTTTCAGTATAAATAATGAAGGTAATATTCATTTGTTGATTAAAGATGCCCTTGGTACACATAAAGACCTGAGCTGGTTACTGTCTGATTCTCCTCTTCATCCATCCAAAACTGTGGGCCAGACATTCAGTACATGTGCTTACTTTGGCCTACGACAAACTTGTCCAGCCCACAATAGGAACATTTCAGCCCAATTTTCTGGCCCACTGTGTATTGTGTGTGTGTTTTTTTTATAGTTTTTTAAAATCTGGGCCATAAGGAAAAACAAATCATGTTAGGACAAAACTTGTCTGGCAAACAAAGTAATCATTTTGGTACACACTTGTGACCCACGGAGTGGATATTAATTTAAACTATGTGTCAAACTTAGACTGATTAAGGTAAACCTGTTATGGACTCACGTTGAGCCAAAATCTGTCCCAAAATCAAGTCATTTTGGTGGACATTTGTAGCCTACAGTTTTGATCCTACAGGTGGACCATCTGTTCAGTTAAATACTGAATATTTAAGAAAAAATATATATTTTTGGTAACATCCTCAGTTTACTATATTTTTACCATATTTTGTGGTTGTTCAGTTTTTCTTATAAAACATTTCCTGCCCCGACTTTAATCTTTATCCACTCACAGCTGCATCTTAAGCCTTTTCAGTAATACATCTAAACATCCTCTGGACTGTGATATATTTTATATTTGACATTTTTAGATCAGTGTCTCAGAAGTGTCAGCTGATTTACACTCACGGTTGAAT